TTCAGTTTGTTTCGGTTCGGCTCGGGTGGGCTGAGTTTGGACGCGTTAGCTCGGGTTTCAGGCTTATCTGGATTTCTGGACACCAAAATTGAGTCATCCACTAAAACCCCATCATCCGGGATCAGGAATTAATCCGGGATTCAAACTATGCGGGGAACACCCACACATATACCAATGGTGGCTCAGTGTGACGTCAGCAAGGGATATGGCTGGGGTTATATTACGTCGGCTTTGGTTAGATGCACTGTTTACATCCACACATTATTTAGATCTGATGGTCCTCCACCCAGACGTTCTGACGAAACTGTTCTTGTTTCTAGCGTCCCGTGAGAGACTAATGGATTTTGACGGAAGGCTTACATCATGCATGGACCCAAGCTCGAGCTCGGACTTATGATCAAGGACCCGGACTCATGAGCCGTGGCAGTGGTTGGATGCTGTTCGATGATGCTGACACCTGTAGTTTGGCATGATTGGACTCAGAACTCAGGTTCGAATCAGTATACCGAAAGTTGGGACATGCGCGCAAGGTTAGCGTCGTATTCGTGTTCGCACTCAGTGTCGAGTTCCGGTTTTGCATTAGCTTTGGCTATGCTTCGATATTATCAAAGTTATTTTTTAAAATTATGCCTGTCTGCTCTAATGTTCTAAAGTGGACAGTCTAAAGTCAAAATCCCGTCCAAAGTACGGAAAATACAATCCACAAAAAGGAAGATGAGACGCAATCGATTTTTTAGCATCAAAACGTTGCTTGCCACAGGGATCAACCTCCGTAAAACAAACTGAGCCGCCAAAGTCACGCTTCAGAATATAAATCGATGCCAAATAACTGGGAACCCCACAACGGCTAGTCTTACCTTACGTTGAACGTTGGTCGGATCATCCAGTGCGATGTGGTGCTTAAGACACCAACTGGACCTCATGGTTCGCCTATCATGGCTTCCCCAACATTTGAACTTTTAATCTTGATCGGTAAAACTGAATGCTCGGGTGTGTTAGCGAAGGCTGGTCCGAGTGACAACTTCGGTTTTGGTGTTTCACACAGACGGCGGGAGCTCATAGCTTCGTCGCCATGGCGTCCCGGGTATCTGGCCTCGATTTTGGCCCTGAAAGGCTACCTAGAAAGTTCAAGTTATTTTTACGGAGGTTGGTCAGGTGACGCACTTTTCTATGCTCATTGCATCCGGATCGGTCTTACCAACTAAGTACGCATGACGTAACCCATCACTTGACTTTGATTTGAATATGAACGGGTGGCCTTGAATTTAGATGGCCTTGCCGGATGTTAGTACAGATGACGAACTACATTTTTGGGCTTAAAACGCCATGTTGTATGGACAGATATGGTTGATGTAAAGTTCCACGTAATTCAACCTTTGCCGGTCTTTGAGGTAGCCAACTGCATTTGATTTGAACTGCATGCAACACTCGAAATGGTCATCGTTCCGGTCTGTATGGCATCCCCACCATGTGCTTCTGCTTTTGACCTTGAAGATGATCTTGAGTTTGGATTGCCTTGTCGGGTGGTAGTCGGGTAATGCACTACGTTTTAGTGTTGGAAACGCCCAGTCGTGTCTCATATTTTGTTCGATACGACGTTCCTCATCATTTGACCTTAAGTTCGATCTACATAGCGTTGGTTACATTGAAATCAAAACCGACCTTATTTTTCGGCTAAGAGTTCGGTGAAATGAATCATGGGAAAGTTTCAGCTAAATTGGACCGCGGCGCTTTACACGAATACGAGGCCATTTTGACGGAGAAGACTTGGACATGAAACTGGACTCGGCTGCACGGACTAGGACCCTCGTGTGCCTGAGTCCGGGAGGCGCCGAGATCAGATGCGTCACCTTCCGCCGTTTATCGCGCTGTGACGGCGTACCAACAGCCGACCTCATACTGCGGCCATGTCGACCCTCTCGACTCCTGAGCGGCGCCGTGTCCTACGCGCCATCTTTTGGTCGCCTCCGACCAGCGCCGGATGCGCCAGTTTCCGGCGCGGCCACCGCTCCGCCGCTCCGCCGCCGGCGCGCGACGGAAGCGATCCATCGCGGCTTGTGCACCGCTATGCAAAGTGCCCAGTCAAACCACTTCACAATGGCTTCCGCCCCCTAGCAGGCGGCACAAGGTGTCTGGGGCGACACTGGGATCTCCGAGGTGTGGCTGGCAGTCGCCAGGGGTCACAACTTCCTACAGAGCGCACGACGGGATTTTAGAGACACACGTTTTTCGTCATTAGCTGGATGTCTTGCCCCACGGCGCGGGCTCGTCACTTTGCATAGTTTTGGGCTCACGTGCCTGGGCTCACGTGCCTGGGCTCGGACCCGTACCAGTCTCGGTCAGGGAGGCATCCGATGCGCCATCTCACCCATCATGCTGTTTACCGGGTTGGTGGTCAGAGGCGAACAGAAGATGGCGCGTGCGGCACCGCTCAGGGCGGAACCGGAGCTGATCGGAATGGCGCATTAGAAGTTCTCCCCCAAATAATTCGGAATTTACCGCCGGGCTAATGACGAGGCACGTCAACAACCGCCGTAAAAGGCCCCAGCGGCTGTTAGAGTCAATCCGCTGGTCATGTTTGGAAGGTGTTGCCTCAACCAGTGCCCTCGGCCATGACGCAATCGCAGCACAGGCGATCGGCATTCTGGCGTCCCGAGCCGCTCGTCATCGACCCGGGTGATCGCCAGCCTGCCGTCCCAAGCCGCTCGTCATCGACCCGGCCCGGCTGCAGACCGGGCGGCGTCACCCGAGGCGGCGGACACGATCAAAGCCAGGGTCGATTAATACGCGCTTGGGTGGGGGTCAGTTTGACTCCTCGAAGGTTTTTCTGGAATGATTCTGAACGGCTCGGCGCAGACGCGCTGCCCATTGCAAATCTCTAGACAGTTGATAGCGGATAATTGGGTATCACGAATTTAGACTTACCTTGTAAGCTCGCTGACCTACCTTAGGTCAAAGCCAGGCCATGGTTTCAGCGAAGGCGATTTCTAGGGAATCGTTCAGTCTGATGCAACAACGGAGCGTTTCATGATTCCGTGCATCTCTGAGATTGTCTCTGTGGTAAAACAACAATTCAGTTGTCATATTGCGCTGAGGTAGTTTCAGGATGAAGTTTGGACCAAGGTCAAAAGTAGCCTGTGTTTACTCGAGAGCTTACTGTATGAGGCAGTGTCTGGTGCTCATTTTGAATCTACTAATGACAGGAACCACATCATGCATCTTGCATAGATTTCTTAATTGTCAGAAAAGGTCACTGACCTAAAATGACCCATGTCAGCACATTGTTTTTAGTAACATGCCGCCTAGTGTAATCCTTAACGCCTCCTCAAATGCAAAAATCAAAGCAGTCTTGCATTATTTTGGTCACCATGACCTTCTAAAGGTCAAACAAGGTCACTGACCTTGACGAGCATCAGTGATTTATTGCTTAGGGCAGGTATCTGGGTTCACGGCGGGTGTATGAGAACGTCTGGGGGACTTTGGACGCCAAGGATTTTGGCCTTGTTTGACAAGAAGGTCATGACCTAGGAACCTCAAATTTTGACACAAGCGAGTTCACAGACAGCTAAACATACCCTCTGAATTTAATGTCTCTAGCTCTCTTAGTTTCTGAGATTTCAAGGAAGCAAAGTTGACACCCACCCGAGCAAAGGGTACTGAACCAACTATTCGGGCGCGTGCTAAGGGAACTTCTGCCTTTGAGGGAAATGGGTGATATACGGGGAGCAGCATACCCAGTAATGGTCCCGGAATTTATCAAGAAATCTTACAAACATTAATTTTATCCCTGCGCACACAGCACGGGGATTCACACTACCACCGATCACATTTGTCGATGATTCGTCTTTTCCACATCCCGACTAATGGCAACGTGGCCGTATTTAGCGAAGTTGATAAAGCTAATGATTCGGTTGCTACTCGCGGCATAGCAGCTCCTGGAACCTATCGGCGTTACGCTAGCGCTCTCTTGAGGGGTGCGAACGACCGCCCTCTACCCACGGACTGCACGGCTGTGTGCACTGTCGACCTGGCTGCTAGGACGGCGCATCCCACCCGATTAATCGCGGCAGGCAGGCACCGCGCTGCTCACAGCGGCCGGGAGCCGATCGAGACCTTTCTCACCGCGCTGCTCACAGCGGCCGGGAGCCGATCGGAGCCTTTCTCGCCGTGCCGTCCACAGCGGCCGGGAGCCGATCGGAGTCTTTCTCACCACGCCGCTCACAGTGGCCGGGAGCCGATCGGAGTCTTTCTCACCGCGCTGCTCACAGCGGCCGGGGGCCGATCATGGCCTTCCTCATCGTGCTGCTCACAGCGGCCGGGAGCCGCTCGGAGCCTTTCTCACCGCGCTGCTCACAGTGGCCGGGGCCGATCATGGCCTTTCTCATCGTGCTGCTCACAGTGGCCGGGAGCCGCTCGGAGCCTTTCTCACCGCGCCGCTCACAGCGGCCGGGGGTCAATCATGGCCTTTCTCATCGTGCTGCTCACAGCGACCGGGAGCCGCTCGGAGCCTTTCTCACATGCCTGTGCCCTTGTCACTCTCGCTCTTGCTTCCATACTTGCAATGTACCCGGTAACAGACACACGCCGAACCCACTGCATTAGAGCACATGAACTAAATGTTTTGAACTTAAAAAGGCAATGGCTGTAATATCTCTCTGCGGCTACATCTCATAAAGGCGAAGGACGCCCTGCCAACAACCACCGACTGAACAATGGGGACCTTGGTGCCGTGCCGCCGAGACAGCCATCTCCATCCGTGACCCCACAATAATCCGGTCCCCTCGCTCGGTGCATCGTCCCGTGACAAGCGTGCCGTCACCCCCCATGAGCTTCATCCCTCCACAAGCCCGACCGACTGATGGTCCGGCGGAGTACCGCACCCGAGTATCCATGCCGCATTGTGCAGTAGTGACGCAATCAGCACATCACATCTGCACAGGCCAAGGCCAAACCTGCATGCAATTAGCGGCGCATTACGGCGCAATACCACACCTCCGTCGTCCACTCTCGCATATATTACTGCCGGACACGGCCACTGTACAGGCATGTACATTACAGCGCAGACGGCTGATAAAAACGGCACCCACTCGGCTACAGGCAGCCTCTACACGGACGTCAGGCCCGGCCCGAAGCACGACGGCCGGCCGGGCCGGTCCGCGCCCGTCCATGGCTGGCGCGCGCCCCGCAGGTGCGCTCAACGCGCTCAGTAGCGCGTCGTGTCGCGGTACTTGCCGCCCTCACCCAGCTTGAACAGCACCGAGTCGCCCATGTCCGGGTTGAAGCCGTACCGGTACTTCTGGCCAGGGGCCTCCTGCCGGCAGCAGGGTGGGAGGTCACCCTCAGGTCGGGTCAGTACTGAGGTGGCGCCGGGGAGCACAGTCTCGCTCCGGTTATGGTAGGGGGCGCCAGGTAGCGCCGGGGAGCACAGTCACGCTCCGGTCATGGTAGGGGGAGCAGGTGGCGCCAGGTTCAACGATCCCCAACCCCGTGCTCGCCCATTGCACTGTGGTACGCTAGGTTGGAGGCCCATACATTCCTAGTATGTCCAGAGCAGCTGGCAGCTGGATTCCTAAGCAGCTGGGTTTGAGAGCACTCGCGACGCAGTGAGGTGTTTGGGGATACTTATCTAGCGTGCGGGATTTACGACCGTTGCGCGGTCGCTCCGAGTTGTAGCACCATCAAACAAATGTGATGGATTAGATGACCATCCCATCGCCATCCCGTACTTAGCAGACCATAGTGTATCATGCTGCGCTCGAAATGATGATGATGATGGGTTGGGCTTTAAGGCGCGCAGACAACAATGGTCATATGCCGCGATGCGCTCGGTCTGCTACAATTGAGGCGCTAGAGAATCGCTGTATCGCCACGCTATGTTTGCGAGCCACTGAAGTCTCGTGCTAGGCTTATGTACCACCGGCCCAGCTGCATATGTATGTTGTCTTTCGATAACCATACCACCATGAGATGTAACAAAGCACCACGCCGCGGTTGAGAACCACCGCGCAAGCATGCGCGGTAGGAGGATCATTGCACCACCGTGTTGGCGTCAGGACCCCCGCATGGCTACAGTGGATTCCGGTGCCGTCGCTCCAAGCTGTTGGACTTCGTAACGCGAAGATCCGTCGCGGAAGGGCATAACGAACGGAACGCGAGACTAACCGGACCACGTGAGCTGCGGTGAAGTGAAAACAATAACAATCAACAATACCAACAAATCGGGTAGGGTGCACTAATGTTGGAAAGCAGCAGAGTCGAACATGGAGGTGAACGCACAACGAGGTAAGCAACTCGATAATAGCTACGTTCGTTAACTGTGATGGGAATAGAGAAACGCCGCCGATTGGAACTAATTCAAGGCATTAACGTTAAAGACATTGAAGTACAGGTATAGTAACAAGGTACGTTCCTCGTTGCGAGTCAAACATTGCCAGGAGGTGGTGCAGTCCTAACCAGTAGCGTCCCGTACATATTCATTACACACAACCTTCCCCGGAGGCACGCGAACAAACCTCGGGCTCAGGCTACACAGCTTCTGCATAGTGTCGCACACTGTCGTGCACGCCCGAGAAAGCAAAGCCGGACGGAACGATAAGATGCACTAGTGTTCTCACTGCACTATGCAGCGTGGGTAGACACGTCTCTGGGTTGTGCTATGAGAACCCAGGCACCAGAACCAAGAAAGCAACAACAGAGACAAGTTTCTGAGTCGTACTGAGAACCTAGTCACCAGTGCCGAGCTGAGCAATAACAGAGGCAAGTCTTCAAGCTGCCCTATGAGAACTAGACACCAGCACCCAGCAGAGTAACGACACAGACGTCTCTGAGCTTCGCTGTGAAAACCTAGACGCCACTGCCCAGCAAGGAAACAACACAGACACACCTCTGAGCTTTACTAGTGAGAGCTCAAATACCAGCACCCAACAAAGCAACAGAGTGCTTTGCTGGATGCTAGTGCTGGGTGAAGCTGGGTGCTTCAATGGGGCTGCCATATTGATCCCCTGCCATGGAGGAGGGGGGGGGGGGAGGGATATGTTTATTATAGGTAATAGGTAATAGCCCCCGCAGTGGGAATGAAATCATAAAATCGCAACGCTGATATCTACAGATCGGATTATGTCGAATAACACCTTCAACAGACGTTTGCAGGAGTCACGTCACACCAACCTCGTTTATTAGTTCATCTGCTATCTTCATGTCCTCCTGCTCTCCCAGAAGTTCTGGTACGTCGAACCGAGGCACCATCATGTTCATCATCAGGTGTGATTTGTAGTTGGTGTACCTGAAGCCATATCAACGCTGAGCACCCCACTGGCAAAGGCGCCAGCACGAGTTCTTGACACACCATCACCCTAACACCACACAACGCTGTACCGCTCACAGAAAACTCCGTGGCCAACGGAACTGGGTGTTTTTACGACGTTCGCCATGAAACCAAATGACACCGCACTTCCGTTTGACCCTTCTGCACTGTTCGCGCAGTTTGGTGTGGTATTTAGTGCAGAGTGTGCCGGCCTGAAGCGGCGCCCCGCAGGTCCGGGGACTCACTGCGTGCGCCAGCTGTCCCAGTCGTCGTCCGACTTGCGCCCCCAGTCCTCCATCTTGTTGGTGTTGTAGCCGTACTGGGTGAAATCCAGCTTCTCGATGTCGTCCACCATGTGCTCGACGATCAACTCCTTGGAGACGTCGTACGTTAGCAGCTCCGAGTGCTCGCTGATGGTCTTCAGCCAGCTGTTCTTGTACGTGTCTTCCACGGCGTTCAGGAAGCCGTCAGTCAGCGCCGGCGAGCCAACCTCCAGAGGTCGGGCGCGCGCCTGGCGGGTCGACGCTGACGTCACAGGTGTGAAGGGTTGAGGGTGACGGACGCGGACGGGAAGATGTGGTCGAGCGGTCGCAGCTGAGGTCATGTGTGAATTAATGAGTGATGGGTCACATGAGGTTATAAGCGACGGGTCGAAGGCCACAGCCTAAATGTGAAGACACCGATAGGAAGCCAGGAACGTAGCTTAAGGGCACTGGCTAATCACATGTGAGGTGAAGAACGAGACGAAATAACGGCCGTGAGAGGCAATGAGCGAGGAAAACTGAGAACCTTATTAAGCATATAGAGGAACAAGAAAATAAAAAAAAACACGATGACAAAAACATGATTCAGAGTGGTAACATTCAGCAGGAGATTTGTAACACCGCTGCAGAGAAGCTAAAGCTAGGTGTCGCCCCGCTAACAAAAAATGAAAAGACGCGGCACAGCATTTATTGGCCCCAGCACACATTTCGCATGGCAGGCTGGGAGCAGCAGGCCTGCAGCCACCGGCACATGTGGCGTGATACGAGGGCTCGTACCTTGACCCTCTTCTTGACCTCCTCCACGGGGATGTCGAGGTAGATCACCAGGTGAGGCCGCAGCATGAATACCAGCGTGTTCTGGGCAATCTCCCGGTAAACGCTCCGCGCTGAAATCGCACCGAACCGCGCCGAAGGTATGGTCACAGCGGTCAGGCTAGGCTGGCCGTGGACACGGCCGCTCCGCAGGTACATTGGGTGACGAGCTAGTGCACACGGCTTGACAAGGTGCTGGTAAACTCAAGAGTCCTCCGCACTCCCGGCGTGCAAAACCGGAACCACACTTACCGCTAACGGCAAGACCCAACTCTCTGGTCCGCGTAAGGCCGCCACATCCATTCATCGAGCGGGGATGAAGTGACCAAGTCGAAGGGACTGGGCCTTCTGACAACTAGTTTAGTTTAATGTGCAGAAAATTAAGACATCATTAATTTTGTGCTCTAGCATTTGCCACAAATTTCCTCTCTGCGCTGTCATAACTCTGCCAGAGTCTGGTTCCACTGGCAGGTCCACTGGCAGGCGTGGTCCCACCGGCAGGCGAGTTTGCACTGGTGGTAGTTCCAATATAGTGACATTTTAACCCAAAGCGACATGGCCAAGTACAAAGCGCATGACGGTAGCAACCCAGTTACTCCGCGTTTTTTTGTGTGCTTACAAGGCTGCTTCTCAGAAACAAAATGTTTTCTGGGAAAACTGAAACAAGGCTGTTGTTTTCGTACCAAATCTGTTTGAGCCAGGGAACTCCAGCTGGATATCCAGTCCCTTCAGCTTCAGCTAACGCTGGCCACTTAACACGGAGCTCACCTCCACGGCTGACGAAGCCGGCTCTGCACATGGCCTCCATGTAGACGAAGTCACTGAGCACACACTTGTTCATGACGACACCCTGACCTGTGGCAGCGGCGGTCCAACGTCACCACCTCGGAGCGGGAGGGCGAGCCGCACAGCTGCCGCCGCGCGGCGCACCGCAGCGGCGACGGTCAGGTCAGATCGGGAAGACAGGGCGGTATGGGCAAGCAGACGGGGCTGGGAACACGGACATCGCTGGATGCATAGCTAGCCAGCCGAGTAAGACTACAGTCGAGGACTGCACCATTCTAATCCTGTATTATGTATTCAAGGAATATGAGGAGAGCAGGTATGCGGTCGTCTAATAGCGAATCCAGATGGTATGGGTAACAGGGCAGTAAAAATGCCTGATTAACTGAATGATGGTGGCGATGAAGCTGGAAACATAAACTGTTCATCTGTCGCCTATCAAAATAATCACGTGTTCATTTCGTGTTGGAGCTACAGGGAACATAAAAACAAAAGTAAGTTTTGAGTGCCTGCACAGACCTGTTGCCCCCCCCCCCCCCCCACCCACCACCCATGCACACGTCCGCTTACCCGTGTTGAGGAGGTGGGCGAGCGCGTCAATGTACTGAGACAGCTTGAATTCGAACCAGGTGATCTGGAACGAAGCCATGCGAATGTCGTAGGGATTCTTGAGGAAATCGTCCACCTGCATCAGCTGCACCTTGTGCGGCAGCCGCTCGTTGAGCTGCCGTAGGTCGTAGCCGTAGTCGTTGATGTACATGAGATCGGCGGAGGCGGGCGGCATGTACTGCATCTCGAACTCGTCGGCCAGCGCCCGCGCCACCTCCTCCTTGCCGGAGGCGATCGGTCCATCGACCACGATCAGGCGCGTGTTCTCGTCCCAGCGGCTGCGCGTCGTGTCGAAGAACGACTTGAGGCCACGGTAGGGCTTCTCCTTGTAGGGCCAGGGCGGGCGGGGCCAGCTCTTGGGACCGCCGCGCATCGTGCGGCCGGTGATGAGCGCCGCCTGCACAGCCGGCAGGCCGGCGCGCGCCGCCGACAACGGCAGCGGCTGCACGCGGCAGCAGCGCGACACGGTCGAGATGCAGTGCAGCGCCATCACGCCTCTGGAGGGGCACAGGCACCGGGCCGGCGCGGGGCGAGGCGCGGCTGTGGAGAGGGAACACAGTCCAAATCTCTGGAGGGGCACAGGCATTGGGCTGGCGCAGGGCAAGGAGCAGCTGGGGGGTAAAGAAAACACAGTCCAAATCTCTAGGAGGGGCACAGACACCCGGCCAGAGCAGAGCAAGGAGCAGCTGCAGAGAGGGGACACTGTCCAAATTTCTGGAGGATCTTGATACAATCTCTCTAGAGATGACAAAATCAACATAATCATGTATGAGGGTGCATAAGTAGGGGCATTGGTACTATATTTCACTCAAACACTTACAGAAAGTGCACACCAGCCAATACCAATGGAATGCCTCAGACATCCACATGACACACCAGTATGAACAACCATATATGATGACATGCATCAATGCTAAATAAAGATGCTATACATTTAAAACATACTTGATCATCTGAACTTTAAAAGTGCCAAAACTGTAGCTTGTATAAGCATCTCAAAACAATCATCAGTTGTTATTGCTGCCTTTACATTGCATGTAAAACCTAGAACCAAAGGCACTCTGATCATGGCAACAGCTTTTCTTATAAAGATGAAATTGATTAAATTATGTGCATGATTACATATTGCCATGCACCAGCTGTAGTACCAGAATGCATGTAAAGCTCAAAGTGAAAAAAACAACTTTAAGTTAACAAAACTAAAAACTCTGTACCAAATTCCACCATCATTCCACATAAGTCAGCATAATAGTAGCTTACAAATGCCATGCATGCCAGCTACTGCAAATCAAATACATCATTCACATAAAAAAGAATGGCCAGTATGTAAGCTTCATATCAGTTTCACTCTGAAGCATTCTGTCCTGAACAATGAGTAATATTATAAATATTTGAGCTCAAAGACTGAAGAAACACCATGTTGCCACACATATATATGCTCACATATACATATATACATATGCATGCAAGAATAAATAATGCATGGTAACTCAATTTCATATTAATTTATGCACCTAAATGTAACTAGTACAGGAAATTCAAAGCTGCCACACACACACACATCCTCTGAAGTAAGATAAATAATAATGGATTACAACAACTTCATATTAATTTGTTTGTCTGCTCAAACTTCATTTAGACATATATGCACAACATCTGAGACTATCATCTTCCTGGAAAAAGAGCAGTTATAAATAAAAGGCTTCAGAAATTATGCCCAGAATTATGTTATACACTAAACTGTTATTTCAAAATAAAGTTTACATGGACAACTCAAGCAAATACTCAATTTTCCTGAGTACATCTGGCATACACAACGTTGGCTGAACATATGACCCCGAAAAAGCAAGCAGATGTGTATCGCTCATTGCATCCACTTTATCTCAAACATATGCATAAAAACCTAACAACAGATCATCTGCTGTAAGCCCGAATAATCCTGGCTACATTTTGAGACCCGAAAAAATACCTTTAATACAATCCAACCAGCCAGAATTTCACGTTCGCCTCAGCCCAACCGAACTTTCAGAGGCTGTTCATCTCTTTCTGTTGAGAGCCGGTCAAGGAAAAGAAAACAGTTCGATAGACGTTTCGTTTTAGTAGTAAGCAAATAAACCTCAAACTTTGATTTTAGAACAGCAATTTTTCACGATTTACGTGAGCAGAGTAAGGTAATGAATTTATAGGCAATCAATTAAGGTAGATTTAACTTATTACTATGATGAAAATACACCGTAGTTCCACTTAATATCTTGTGGAATATGCCAGCAGCTGACAATACCTAGGTCGATCAGGAAAAGTTTTCCACCGGTAAGACTTGAGCCCCAAGAATTGACGTTTGTTGCGCGTAGGGAGCGAAACCAACGCGGATGTCCGAAAAGTGTGTTCTGCGCATCGTTCTGCGCATCTTTTTACCGTCTCTTCACATGATCTCTTGCCTTGAGCGGCCTCCGAGTGCTGGGCTCGCCAAAGAGTCGTGTTTTCTTATATAAGGTTCTTGACATTTTAACAGGTGAGGTAAGATGAATACCGTATTTCCAGCCTTACGCATGCTTTGCATGTTTCTTTAACGTCTGGATTGTGTTTGCAGGGGTTATGGAATGTGAGCTTAGTTGCTGTTGCAGGTTCAGAATTAAAGATGGAAGTCCTCTTCGGGTGCGTTTTCAATTTCTTGACACATGCAGAGATGTGTTCATGCATGCTTGGTGTTTACATTTGCTCGTGAACAGAAAATGTCTGTTCCATCTGTAAGAGTGTTATTAAAGCAGCTGCCTTTTTATGAAAATTCAATTTGAGAAATAATTCAATTGATGTGGGAGAGATCTAGTGGCACAGTTCAACCATTATGGGAGAAGCCTAGTGTTGCCAGCACCTTCTGGTGTGGCTTCATCCCAGTCTGCCAAAAAATTAATCCATTGTAAAGAAGACTCAAACAGCATCTACCCTCAACTTTGTGCTTTGTGCACCAAACTCGGACTGGGTCTAATTGCCTTGCATTTAAAAGTTATGTGAATTTTTTTTAATGTGTTTGCATGAAATTACATTTCCACCATCTGAATTCCTTGAAACATTAACTCTATGTTCTGTTTTGGTGGTGATCATGCATTAAACTTGGAGCTCTTGGGTCTTCAGGGCACAGGTACTAGCATTGTTGCAGCAATGGTATTATGACAATATATTGTTTTTATGTGTGGCTTGGGTACATAAAATGTGCAAGTTACTTTTCATTGATAGCAGAGTAATACAGTTTGTGCTGTAGCATTTGATGATAGCCATTCCTAAAAGCTGCATGGGGCAGATGAAATCTGTGATGGTAATGGAAATTGGGGCCTTGAGGGCTGTTGGCCAGTTTTAGGAGAAAGGCAAGGTAGGGGAGAGAAATGACAGTGGCATTCTGGAGGAATGCCATTTCCCTACACTACAACACTAGGTTGACTCCATGCATGCCGGTTGTAACACTGGCAGGTTTAGTATCATGTTTTTAAGGTTGTGTTCTTATCCTGGGTATTTGTCACTGGGGCTACCTCAAGCATGCTTTCACTATCTCTGTCATGGCTTGCAAGTTGAAAAAGCAGCCTCTCCATCTAGGCAGTCATTCAGCATTTGCAGAAGCCTGTTGACCAATATCCAAAAATGTGCAAGATGATGGTATGTGATCATTTTACATATGCTTTAGATGGCAGCTGAATGACATAGAACTGAAAGGGATAAAGATTATAGTGACATTTTCATTATGTGCCAAGAAAGATATTGGAAAAGCCAATGTATATTATGCATGATCTATGATCAAGGACTTGTCCAATAGTATTTTAGCTAGGCTTGTACATTTCAGGAATAAATCATCTCAGCCAATGAAATGGTAATTAGGTAAACAAGATGCAGGTTCTCTTTTAATTTACCTCATCAGTTCTGATTGAAGAACATTGAAAGCAGTTATGGTACAAATTGGCTGTGTTTTTTGTCTAATGTGAGTGACAAGTAGTAACAACAGAAAGGCTATGGCCTGTTTTCAGGGAAGCTGACATTTGCCATTTTGTCTTTCTTGAAGAGCATGTGAGCTGCCAGTTACTGTCAGTCAACCAGCACAATTTTCTTTTTAGCATTTTCTGTTAGTAATAAACTTCAGTATTTTCACTTATCAGTGAATAAGTTTTAAAGAAGGCTGCTCAAGAAGGTTGAAGTTGAGTCCAGATCTTGATGTCCTAGCAATGTTTCAACAGAAATTATCATGTCACAAGTGGGCAATGGAAGTACACATCTAGTCACTCATGTCCAAGATCACGCCATAGAACCACCATCCTGCCCATGTGTTGGGGACTGATATGAGATATTGGAAACCAAACAAATGGATACATAGTCAAATGGAAGGTGCAGGCAAATCTATGTCTACAAATCAGCAAGAGACCATAGACACCATCTGGCCCAAAGTCTGCCAGTATTGTCTACGAAGAAACTACACTTGCCTTATTTAACAAAGGACCCAAATGTGACATTGCTTTACCTGAACCGATAGGAACTGGATTATCATAATCCCTAGGTTCAATTTCCCTTTTACTGCTATTCAAATGTCATCACCAAAAATGTGAACCACCACTAAAAATGCATTAGGTCATCTTGGTTTTAGATGCCCTGGCTGTAATAGGTCTATACCTAGCCATTTTTCAGGCATCTTAAGTTGTGAAGTACTCCATTAATCTTACATCACTGATTCTTCCTGTGCCAAACCCTCATAGAAGATAAACTTACTGATTCATTGGTCATATTGGCAATATCCATTCATGTGAATTTACAAAGATTTATAGCTCATCGGGTTTGGGGTTTGCTTGACAAATGACATGGCAACATGAAAACTGATCTCAAAAGTCGATTCCCATCTTCATTTTTTTATTTCCACAGGTCGGCCATAATTTGGAGTTTGCAGGGAGAGGGTGTGGGGAGACAAAAGTCTGTGGTTACCCATTAGCATTCGGTGGAAGGCTTTCCACTCTTCCCATCTCTTCTGTGACCCTGAATTGATGTTTCCAGCACTTTGTTTTGTACCATGCTTTTCCGTGTTTGTGACCTTTGAAGGGTCAGCCATGAGGTGCCAGAAGGGCAGAATCATATGAAAAAGTCATCAATCAGTTATTTAAACATCAAAACAGTGAGTGAAACATCTGTGAGTGCTTGGTGTCAAATTGGAAACCAACGTTACCAGAATAAAGCAGTGTGTTTGTTCACATCTGATATCACGCTTTGTGCTTGGTTTCCAGGAGGTCGGTTAGAGGATGTTTGTAGATGTGCTTTACTTTGAGTTTTCACCCAATGTCGATGTTGACATGGCTGGGTATTTGAAACACTTTCAAATAAGCATATGTCAACTTTAGTTCTCAACTGCTATTGCAAGAAATGGGAGCCTGTTTTGGCTGCAGCAGTCTCTCAGGATATGGCATCGTGCTGCTGGCTTTTTACACAGGTGCAACACCTGGAAGGCTGGAAGGAAGAGTTTCCCCTTTGTTTGGAAGAAACAGCATTCCTCCTTTGTAGTCAGTCACCTGTCTGTACTGAGTACTAACATGTGAGATGGCCATGTCATATGACAAGCCATGTTTCGTTTTTTTGCACCTGTTTAAATACAGCATTCACTCCTTTATCATAAGAATCTATATGTCTTGATGTAATAGTACATGATGATTATTATAGAACTGCTCAGTTAGGTCGAATGCCAGGTGTTTGTGTCTGATATTTAAAGGTGTGCAATAATTACCACAGCTATAAGTAAGTAGGCATAATTATCATAGCATACATGTGTACCATATTTTGTTGCTTTTTGTTTAATTTTGTTATTGAGGAGCCCAGTCTATGAATTAAAAACCATTCAGAAGAAATTGCCTGAATTATTAAGGTGGTGATGAAATCTGAAAGCCTGAAGTGTCTTCAACTAACCAAGCAACAACTCAAAATGCATGATTAAGGTTTTATCATGGTTCTAAGGAGAATTATGATAGTTTAAGGTGTGTCAGCTTTGTGGCATGCCACACCCTGTTCTGTTACACTTTCAAGGCCAGGAAGGAGCCCTCTCATTGTGTGGGATACACAATTGTGAAAAACGGACATGTTTGATTCAAAGTAGCAGTGAATTTGGCAGCTCCATGCTTTTTTGTGCAGGGTTGCCAGCGCTAAAAGGAAATATTTGGGACCCTAATATTTATTCACAAATATGGTTTTGTTTGTGGCTGTGGCCCTGAAGCTGTCCTGGCGGTGGTGCCTGACTGCCGTGAAACACGGTGCGGTGCACAGCCTGCTCCATTTGAGCAAAACGTAAACCAGCAGGTTTGCTACATCTGCCATTTATTCCCTGAATATTTTGTCCACCTTATGACTGCTAAGCATACATGGCCTGACGTGGCACTGAGAGCGAGGCAGGTGACACTTGCACATTGGGAACATGCTGAAGAGGCGGGCGCGGCGGCGGCGGGGCCGGCCGGCGCGGCGGCGCGCGGCAGGATGGGAGGGGGCGGCGGCCGGCCGGCGACGGCGGGGCCGCCGCCGGCGCCGGTCAGATAAGCCAGCTCCAGAGGACGCCACAGCTTGGACTGGCGCGGCGGATGAGGCCGAACACCAGGCCGCCGCCGTAGCCGCTGAAGGCGCGGTACGCGGTCAGCAGCAGCGCTGCGTTGGCCACGGCCAGCGCCGCTAGGATGTACAAGCACATGGTGATGAGCCGCTGGTTCTGCTCCTGCAGTCGCGCCGCCCGCTCCACCAGCCGCTGGCGCGCGCACACCCGATCCATGAGGCACTCCAGCTGCGGCAGACACGGGCCTGAGACTGCCGCCTGTCGGTGCCGCTCAGACGCGGCTGGCGGCAGGCTGTTCTGACGCGAAGCGGCGGGGTCACGTCATAGAGAAGCCAGACGCTGGCTGTGGCAGCCACGTGGGGTAACCCTGCTGCAGCCATGGGTTGTGGATCAGTTAGTCCAGCTCAGAGGTCTAGAGCCAGTCGTACAGTCACTGGCAAGGAAACATCGGTCGAAGCGAAGGGTCCTCGGGAATATAAAGGGACGTCCTAGGTGCAGCCTGTCGCACGTTTAGGATCCCTGCCTTATCCCGGTCCGTCAATGTGAATTGATGCATGGAGAGTGTCAGTGATTGTTGTTCCTTGCGGCATGCCAGCCCAGCCTGCGCGAGCTTCCGGTAAGCCGTCGCGCGCGACGCTGACCTTGTCGGCGAGACAGCGCAGCGGAAGGCCGGAGGCGGGCGGCGGGCCGCAATCTCTGGGCGGAGTCGCCTCCAGCACGCAACGCAGGCGGTGCTCGTACCGCTGCTCCTGAGGAACACACTGCAGGAGACGGCACGGTCAGCCTACTGACTTCCGGGGGTCGGGCCCGCCGGCTGAGGTCCGAGGTGTCCCCGGGGTTTTGCCCGCGAGACTTGGCAAACATGTGACCGGAAGTAGATTTTCCACACGGCCGAACATAGAGTTTAGGGATGAAGTATGCAAAAGCAATGCTGGGTGGCCTCGTTTGGTGCGTGCCAGTGATTTTCGGAAAGGCGTTTGTCATATGTCCCGCATATTGTTTAATGTATGTAACTCCCCAACATTTATTTCGAAAGCCCCGTGTGATCTAGTCGGCCAGCTCTTGCTCTTCCTGCCCTCTAGTGTACCTTCCAGAGGCGATAGAGCTCCTTGGCGCAAATGTTCTCCCGCTGCACGGGCGTGGCGACCACAAGGAACTTGTCGCAAAGCACTTGGCGTGGTGAGACGCCCTCGCACAGCACCACTTCCACGGTGATGGAGCAGCCGCAGGCGATCACGCCGCAGCTGGGGCGCACGCGGAACTTCTCCGGCGACGTTGTCTTGATCTTGGACGCGACAGACGCACGTGTTAGAGACTAAGACGGAGTGCTGCCATGAGCGCTGCGCTCGTTGTGGCATGAGTTTCAGGGAGTGGTAGTTATGTTTCCTCGTTGCGGTGGCTTACGTCTGGCTTATAAATCGGAAGGATATGAAGCCTACCCGAAGCAGCACAAGGTGCGAAGTACGCTACGGAGCCTGACGAAACGTTTTGTTTTCATCCATACATATTCCCCCCTCGCCGCAGACGCAAACGCTTCCATCAAGTCACAAACGCGACCATGTATAGATATCTAACGGGGTGCTGGATCACAGCCGGACTGTGACAGCTAAGAATAGCTTGGCAGGCAGCCGAGCTGCCCTTCAGGACGCTTGGCGTCGCCTCCACTAACCTTGAACGCCACGGGGCATCTGTGCGTGTTGGTGATGGTGAAAGGAGCTCTCGACCGGGGTGCATCGCATTTGAACCGCACCTCGCCGTACGGGCACACGGATATGATGTCACCTGGAGGAAGTCGCGAAGCGCTTGGTGATCTATGGCCTGGATAAATTTTCTCTGCTAAGATGCGTTTTGGCAGTTTCTAACCTATGCATTGTATTCCCCTCGCAAAAATCGGGTTGAGTTCACGCATCGCTTTCGTGATATGCAGGTCTTTGTGTTCAAAATAACGCTAGATTGTTACATTTTGGGGTTGAATACACCTATTATTATGCATATCACCAATCAGATTTTACTTTCCTGAAATTTATTTCCTGCAGGCTGCACATGGTCCGCTCTCTGCACAACTGTAATGTAAACGAGTTGGCAATGCAGCGCGAATTTTGTGTATTGGCCTTTACCTTGCTGGGATGATGAGCATGTCATTTTATCTTCGTTTTCGCTATTTCGTTCGAATGTTGATTTTTCGAGCTCGGAGCGCAGGGTGATTCTTGTCTAGAATCATGTCTGGCTTCTTATCCGCCGCTAGTTGCACAGGTACAGGTGCTCGATGCATGTAGTGTTACAATAGATGGCGAAAACGGCCTGTCATGAGCTAGGCCCTTAAACACATTCAACTCTCAGCATTTCATGCCAGCGCAACCTACTCGCGTTTCCTTCCTTAGCATACATGTTTACGTCTCATGGGTTTTAAAGTGTGCCGAAATTTTGGGCACGTGACTGTCGACCGAACGGACTTCGTGCTCCGAAGTTGGAATTAATTAATCGGGTAGGCAGTCATTGGGTGTGGTAGAAGTAGTGGTAGTTATTGGTGCTACGTTAGTTGCACAGATGAGTCGTTGGGTGTGGTAGAGATAGTGGTAGCCATTGGTGCTACGTTTGCACGGATGAGTTTTGCTTACGCTCAGTCTATCCGGTAATGCGCATTCCGTTGCTCGGCTCCGTTCACGTTCTCATTGTCCGCTCTGTTGACGTGCACCCGGTCCGTGGTCACGTGCCCAGCGGTTGTGGTACTGACCGGCGCCGCGCCTGCCGTCCCGCCGCAGAGATGGCGTCCGTAGCGGGTGTGGTGCTGCGCCGGTGCGTCCAGCTGCCGGCGGCGGCCCGCCTCAGCACCTCGGCCCGCGCGCTGGGCGGCCCCGGCCTGCCCACCGTGGTGGAGCGCCACGGCAGCCGCGAGGTGCTCGGCTACGGCTTCAACGGCGAGCCCAACTACATGGACCGCGTCGACTTCCCGATCCCGGCCGTCCGCTTCAAGGAGGACACGGCCGGCATCAAGGTGAGTCAAGGCCGCAGCGGCAGCGCGTGACGCCTCACTGGAGTAACTGAGTTAGAAGGCTATGCAGGGGTACCACTTCCTTGTTCGTTCAATTTTGATGATGACCGAATGTTTAGGTTATGTCATTTTCTGCGTGATGGTGCGTTGACGTCAAGTTGGTCAGTTAACCGTGTTTTTCTGTTTACTTTAGCCGTTTGTTGCTCGAAATTTTCACCAGACGGATGAGGAATACCTACGCTTATCACTGCATAAATAAATACGAAAACGTACGTTTAGTCTCGGTTTTTGTATCCTCTTATTCTGTGTCGTATGCATCCCACCGTCAGATAGGATGACTGGTGTGCTGCCTGGTGGCAGCAGTGCGGACCGTCGCCACGCACCCTTTTCGACGCCTGTGACCACTTCCTCGGACGCAGGTGCTGCGTGAAAAGGAGAAGGGCGACTGGAAGAAGCTGACGCCCGAGGAGGTGCAGGAGCTGTACCGCGCCACCTTCTGTAAGTCGTTCGCCGAGATCCAGGCTCCCACCGGCGAGTGGAAGCTCGTGCTGGGTGGCACGCTCGTCGCCTGCTCCATCGCCGTGTGGATCTACCTCTGGATGAAGGTGTTCGGTAAGTCCAGCCCTGTTGTGGGACGCAGCCTTGGAGCGGGGTGTGTGTGGTGTGTTTGGTGGACACCGCGGGAATTGTCAAGCTCGCATTCTAGCCCACTACAGAGACCACAGGGGAGCGCTGAATGCGCCTGGATGGTCTGGGTTCGAGGCTCGATGCACAAAGTTGACCACACTGCTTCATGGACTCGATCTACATATGTTTATACATAGCATCTGCCAAAGAAATGCGTTGGTAATGTTCTGAGCTGTGCAAAGTCACCGCATGTCCTCCGCGAGTAACGATGTTGGTGTGCGTATGACGCCGCCGTAAGCCTGTGCTGACTGCGTCAGGCGCTGGCCGCCGGCTGACCGACTCCCCCCCGCGGCAGTGTACGACCAGCTGCCGGACACCATCACCAACCCGTCCAAGATGGAGGCGCAGGTGCAGCGCATGATCGACCTGCGCATGAACCCGGTGGAAGGCATCGGCTCCAAGTGGGACTACGAGAAGGGCCAATGGAAGAATTAACCGGACCACGCTCGGCGGAGCACCTAGCTAATGCCCTGTGTGGCGCCGCCTGGCGGCGGCAGTGTGTGTGGGAGCTGGGCTCGCTGGCTCAGGCGATCGTGGCGTGAAGCGGGTACCAGTAACTCGAATAAATCCTACCTGAATCAGTCAAGAGTTTTAGACAGAGCGCGCCAATGGAGAGAGGCTTTGTAACGGGGCCTGGACTTATCTGGCGCCCACAGTAATGGCCTTGCAGTGTTGTGTCTGGCAACTGTAGCTGTGACGAAGTCTTAAGAGCTCTGGCGATAAGTCAGGTTGAACGGCTCAGACTGGGCATTTCAGACGACATTTGAGAGCTGGGCGTGCCGCGAGCTGTTTGAGTAAACGACTGATTTGGGATTTTCGGGGTCCACCTTTTTCTGGAACAGCACCACACCACAAAAATCTTACAAAACGCTCATTTAGTCCATTGGCGGTGTCCTCGGTCTGTCGCGGGGAAAACACGCAGGTGACCAGGTGAATCCCGACGAACGTGCCGGCGAGCATGCTGTCGACCGACGACGTGTGCGCGACACCGCGTCATCCAGCACGTCATCGCGACATCGCGTCATCCAGCAGTAAATTGCCGCGACGCCTCTTACCCACTGACGGTCACGTGACGCCGCCCGAGCACGGCGCGTGCAGACGCCGCTTCCCCGCCGCCGACGGGCCACTGCCGGTCACGTGACGCCACCCAGGCACGGCGTGTGTCGGCGCCGTTCCCCGCCGCCGGCGGGCCACTGCCGGTCACCTGACGCCACCCAGGCACGGCGTGTGTCGGCGCCGTTCCCCGCCGGCGGCGGGCCGCCCCACGGCCGGTCACGTGGCGCCACCCGAGTACGGCGTGTGTCGGCGCCGCTCCCCGCCGGCGGCGGCGGGCCGCCTCAGACCGGCAGCCAGGTCTTGCGTCTGATGCTGAGCCGGACGGCGCGGTCGCTGCCGCCGAGAGCCTCCGGCCGCGGCTGCTGCAGCATCCAGGCGCGCCACTCGGCCTCGGCCAGCTGGCGGCGGCGCGCACCTCCGCGCGTGTCCCTGATGAGCCCGCCCAGCCGAGCGTTTCGCATCCACAGGTCGTTGCAAAGCGCGTCCAGGCAGCGGTTGAAGTCGTAGAGCGTCTGCCAGTCGGCCTCGCCGTCCACCTCGCTGTCCATGGCGGCCGCGATGGTGTCCTCGATCTGCCGGCGGCGCTGCTGCTGCAACTCGGCGTGCAGTGTCTCCACCGTGTCCGTCATCTGACGCCTGCGGCATGGAGCGAGCGCGGCGCCGGTCGGCAGGAGCACCGGCAGCGCGGCCGTACGAGACATGGGGCACGCTGCGATCGACGCCGGAGCGCTGGAGGCGGGGGGTACTGGCCGTGGCGCCGCAGCGCGCTGAGTAGAGTACTGGAACGGACCGACCCCGCCACATACCAGACATAGTTTGCCGAAAGAGGGGTACGTGAGTGGGCATGTGCGTTTGACTGGCCATGTTGCTAGACATGTCCGACCTTTTTGGAGGGGATGAAACTCTCTCTCACTTGACGTCCTCGAACCACTGCGTCAGCTTCTCCAGCTGCTTCAGGAGGTTGGCCACCCGCATGTTGTCTACGGGCAGCAGCTGGAACTTGTAGTGCAGCACCGTCTCGATCTCCTCATTGACCTGGCGGCGAGCGGATGGAGCTAGTGATCCACACCGATTCAGCCCGATCCCATCACCCGCCGCATTTGGGACGCGAGCGCGGCAGAAGAGCACGACAGACAGCTCTTGACACGGCTGGGTTGCCTCCTCCACATATTTCACAAGCGGACAACATCCGCAATTGAAGATGTTCGCAGTTCCCATCAGCACTCAAGCCTTTGGCGGTATTCTCCAGGGCTCAGGAACGGGCACTGCAGCGTAGACTTTGGGGTGGTAGGAAAACACGCCGCACAGCAGGACGCCGCAGTGTCCTGGCTGGGGAGCCGATGTGGAGACGGCGGCCTATCCTGCGCGCCACGCCGCCGTTGCACGGCGCACGCACCTGCTTGGTTTGATCCTTGATCCGCTGGAGTCGTCTCTCCAGCACCTTTATCATCCAACGTCGGCCGGTCACCAGGGCCAGGCACGCCTGGTACAGGTTAATGCCACGGCACAGCCGACCTGCGCGGGGTGAACAGAGGGTCACAGGGGTCACACCAAGCGGAGCAACCAGCCGAGCAAGCCTAGAGTTCGGCCGCATCCCGCTGATGGCTTACTGCACAGTCGACTGCCTTTTAACTGCATTGTCTAAACATTTGTTCCGACATGGCAGAAATCAACCCGCCTTGATCGTGATACACATATACGTCCGTCCTAACGTCGTCGATCCATCATATTGAGGCCTCATGGCGTAGGTGCTCCTGGGACGTGAGATCTTACCGCCAGCGCCTCCCGCCCGCACCTGGGACCTGTGTGAACCTGAGCAGGGTGCAGCCGCTCTTGAGGTAGTCGATCTGCATGCTGTGCACCTGGCGGTAGGCGCGCACCTCGAACAGCGCTGTCAGACGCCGCAGGTGCCCGTTGTTTTCGGCCAAAGTGTCGTGCACCGCCCGGTAGATGTCTCTGGCGCGGGACAGCCGGGTCACCTGGTGCTGAACAGCAGGGAGACCACGGCTGTCACGCGCTCGACAGCAGTTTGCTGGATTGTTTTAGAGTGAGAAGCGAGCTGGAAGTTGAAGCATACGTAGCCTCAGCTGACTTGCACGGTGACATCACTTGTCCTGTGACCCGGCCCCATAAGCGCGAATTAAAATATTTCATTAACGCTTACCATTGTACTCCGAAATGTAAGAAGGAACACATGGTTTGGCCATCCACATATGCACAAATGCTCTAATTGCTCACCACTAGTAGCATCTTCCTGTTCTGCCACTTAAGCCTGGCGTCCCTGGACTGTATATGTCCAGCCTCCACTGCCTTCACGATCTCGTGCTTCATGCCCTCCAGAAACTTGATGTGCGCCTTACTCAAGTCCTTCGACTTGTGGAAATTAGTTGTTAGCAGTGCCTGCAAGGATACGATTCGTATTTAAGCTAGGCTACCATTACTTCTTGGCCCAGAATGTGCGTATCGTTTGCATGTCTGGAGAAGCCTTAAGAACAGGTATGCAGCGGGCAAAAGTAGATTAAAAAGGGTAAATGCGGGTTGAGATTATTTCTGGCCGAATGAGATATACAAACACGTACTGAATTACTGAAAATTGTATGTCAACAATACTTCTTCTATACTCAGCCGCCAAGTATTCACAAATGAGTCGCAAGGTCAAACGGTGGCCGCATTCCATTTCCGTCCCATCCTCTGGAGGACGGCAGTGCTGGCGCGGCGGGTCTCCTGGAGCCCAGCGAGGGTCCCCTGGAGCCCAGCGAGGGTCTCCTGGAACCCAGCGAGGGTCTCCCAGTCACCGGCGGCCAGCGCCGTGCGGCGACGAGCGGCGCGGCACACCGTACCATAAGCTCCTCCCAGGTCATCTGGCTGAAGTCCCTGTTGTGGTAGATGGAGAGGGTGGTGACGTCTGGCGGGTCCACGGGCGGCACCTGGGTGGGTTGCCAGCTGTCCCCGGAAAACACGCGCTGGCCTCCAACCCTGAAACCATGGCAGCGTCATCTCTGGACCGGAGTGAGAAGCCACCTCTGGCTTTCCCACTGATGTACGTCACTAACAGCTCCTGTTTCCTGGAGGCTCAGTCCTTCAGCATCGATTTGCTGAAGCAAACAGATGCTCCCTAGTCTATGCCGGGTGCAGTTTGAACCCCTAGTAGCGTGGCAGTGCTCTACAGGCCATTGGCATGGATGAAGGGCGTGGTACGGCTTATGTGGCGGCAACAACACCAGCTTTCACTGAAGTGGTAATAATGTTATCTTTTCCCGCCGATAGATGCTGTCACACCAACTTTCCCCAGCACCCTACACAGCTGGCCATTGACAAAACGCCCAGGCCTCCACAGAATCACTTCTGTGCATCGTACCACGATCATTCTCCTGGGTTTTCGTCAAACTCTGTTGGCCACGGTTGAATCATCTCGAATCAGCGTATGTTCCACAATGCGTCGCCTCCTCACCTCCTGCCTCTCGACGGTTTACGTGCCTCAGTCTGGTCGACAGGGGCGTCATCGTCGGGCTTGCCGGCACCCGAGGCCAAGTGGACGCAGAGGGAGGAGCACTTGCGGCCGGCTGGTCGTCCTCGGTCATCCCCGTCCTCCCCACTGACGGCCGGCCTCCTCCTGACGCCGCCGCCGCCTGCAGAACGACCACCTCCAGCCCCGGTGCCACCACCACCACCGCCGCCGCCGCCGCCGCCGCCGTCGCCACCACCGCTGCCGCCGCCGCCTCTGCCTCCAACAAAACGGCCGGCCGCCGCCAATTTGGGCGGCCCCTTGCCCATGCTGTAGGCTGAGAGAGAGCCAGCGAGCGCTGTGTCAGGCTGATGCTCTACTTCGAGTCATGTGCTGCTGTATGAGGAATCGGACCAGTAGCACGTTTTCGACGCACACAGCTGTCGTTGCGACCCATAATGCTAGCAAGGCATCAGCAGGATGAAACCTTTCAAATCATCGGAGCACACTAAGGCTTGCTGCCATCTCCTCGTGCAAAATGTACATAGCTTTCACTTTCAATACCGGAGGCATAGGGCGGTTTCGAGTCATTTTCGATGCACGAACGTTGTTACTCAAGGGTATGAGCCGCAAGAATTGCGCCTATCTCAAGGCTCTCTGCATTTAGAAAGCACGGTTCTATCGTTCACCGTCCGGACCCGTCGGCTGGCTTATCGGGTCACAGTTAATATTTCGAAACCAACCGGCGCAGTCGCATATTTGTCAACTTGTGTTTAAAACGGCCTCAACTCAAACTTAAATAAAGTACAGGTGGATGTTAACACATTTTTGTAATAAGATGAGGGCGGTTTATGCTCAAAGTTCGACATTTTATGTGGTATTTTGCGTCAACGGTCGCGCAGGTTTGAAATCGTGTAACGGAAGAGGAAATCAAAGGGATGATGTGATGACGGTGTCGGCTCCGTGTGTTTCCGCAGCGCTCACCTGCGGCGCCCTCATCGCGACACTTGCTGCAGCCGCGCAGGTGGATGCAGTAGTGAGTGGAGCGGATGTAGCTGCCCACCCTCTTGGCGACCGCCAG